CAGCAGCCTGACAAGGCAAAGCTATGCCATTCGGCCGCCGCCGCGCTGAAGAGGCAAATCACAGAACACTGAGATGTGCCCGTGAAAAAGAAAACATAAAACGGGTATGTAAGTAAACACAAATGCTGCTTACAGCGAAGAACACATTCTGCAGCCTGTTTCCCTTTCTTCTTAGAAATGAAGTTTTTCAGCATCCTTTATTATTTCCAGATGTTGATTTTTTTTCCCCCCGTAACGTCTGTTCCTATTCACCTTTTAAAATTTGATGTTACAGATTATTTGCCAGGGTGTTGGTTTTTTTTTTACAAAACAAAAAGATGCTTGAAATTCACCTGCCAAATATTTAACTTCAGTCAATAAATACCTCCAAAGCAAACCACTTTGGCAGATGGAGCTCTCATCTGCAGTTGCAATACCCTTCACGTACCTGTCAGGGGCTGTAGCTTTCAACTTTCATTACTTTTCCAGAAACGTGATTTTTTTTAAAAAAAAAAGATACTGATGTTAACAAAAACACACATGCAAGAAGTCAGTGTTGAAATAGATAGCAGTTCCCCTACTACTGCTGACTGATCCCCAAAACCAACTAGTAGGAATGGAGGAAAAACATCCAAATGGATCTTCCAAAGCTGTTTTTATAATGCCATGCTAATAAAAGGAAATATACCCTCTCATGTGTCATGGGCAGCACCATTCATCCAGTATTTAAAAGATAATAAAAAAACATTTATAGTCTTACGCTACTTTATGTAGCTTGTTCTCTGATGCTTTTACATCTGCACAACACCATAAATTAATCTTTTCTCACAAGTTCCTTTTTGTTCGAAAAAGTGCTCCAAATTCCTCCTTAAGAATTAGGACATTCTTCCTCCAAATGGCAGTAAAGTCAAGCTTTAGGATAGATGAGTTTTGACTCCAAAAAGCTCCCATGGGAGCCAGTGAACATAACCCAAACGTTTGGGGGAAGAGGAAAATGATACGAGAAGCTATTGATCTCTATTACCACATATGTTATGCAGCCCATAACATTTAAATTACAAGCACGTGTGGTATCTCATTCAGATATGCGACAGGAAATACCATTTTTAGAATACTGAAACTGCAAACGAAAAAGCTGGCTAAAATAACAGTTGATCCTAAATGCATCAATTCCGGTGAACCCAAAAGCCACGACTCATCTCAATTCATCCTCCTCTGCCTGAGAACAACCTCCCCATTTATCAGATTAACTCAGTCCCTCAGCATTTAATGAACGGTAGTTGTGGCTTAATTTCTTCATTTTAATACCTCGAGGATGTAAGGAAGAGAAATCCTATCCTATTACTGAGAGATTTTATAGGCTGTAGCTATTACTGGGCCCTTTGTTGCTTCGAAAATCCCAGATCAAATGTGCAGCAAAAATACTGCTCGACTTTTGTGCCGTGCTGGGGGATACTGTTATCTCTTCCGACGGTGAAACAGCAATAACAACTTCCTACCCACTCCGAGGGGCAATTCAAGACGTTGACTTTGGTACTTTTAATCCGGATACGGCTTAGCTGAGGATGCTGGCTGGTCACCCAGCAATGCCCCCCGCCACCCCGACGGAGCGGCCTTGCATCGCCTCCTCTGCGGCAGGCGAGCAGCGGCGTCTGAACCAGCGCAGCGCAGGAGCAAACCCCCCGAGCGTCTCACTCCCGGGGTTCGCCCTAACGTTTGGCACCAGGTAAAAGCCTCAAGCGCATCCTGGCGGATTTAAACCCAAAGGTCCTTTTTTTAAATATTGGAGGACCATGGGGTCATCTAATGGGGGGTGGCAGGGACACACCTCCCTTCCGCAAAGCATAAGGCAAGTAAATGCAGTGTTTAATAGACAGGCACTCACATTCAAAAATACACAGAAAAGCATAATTTCATAAATACATTCCTTATTGCCTCTAGCTCCCACGGCCATCGTGGCTTCAAAACTATTAAGCCATACACCCTACACCATCCTTTTTGACACCCAAGCATGTAGCTTATGCATGCCACTTCCATGGTGGGTTCTTATGGGGCAAATATCAACCTCACGGATTGTTTCAAGCTCAAAAAAAAAGCAGATTAACCTGCACACCGTGTGACAAAACAGTTAAATAATCCCTTCAAAATTAGCTGAGCTCTTTGCATGAGCTACACCATTTGTGGACAACGCCTGGTCTTTTGATTTCCAGCCTTCCAGGACAACTATGGACCCCATACACTACTACATGTCAATTGTATTTCCAGGAACAACATCGTCCATTGGCATGTAGGCTATACCGAAATGTAACACAAAACTCTGCACACTGTGGTGAAGCTGTCCCATAACGATACCAGATGAGTTGTTACCGTTTCTTGTACAAATATGTAGACAATCCTTCAAGCATTTGGCCATAAAGTGTAATAGTCTCGCAGGAAAGTACAAATTCTCTGCAGTTTAAGCAATAAAGCACATATGGTATATAAAATAACCTAAAAAGTTTGAAAGCCCTTGTGATATCCAAGTAAAATATGGCAGATTTATCTCTTTTACAGCCATATTCTTTGCATCACCATTTTATTACTTAACTATGTAAAAAACTTGAAGAATACCTTCTACATAAAATAATGCTTGATTTATACTGATTTGCCTCAGATTTCCTTTTGAGTCTACATATGGCTGCGCTTTTATTTAACTCTGCTCGGTGTCTCCTAGACCATAAAAAAAGAAAAAACCAAACCAAATAGTTCTCTAGCCTATACCTCTGAAATAAACATAAGCTAAAGGCAGAACTGACAGGGAAATAAGGACTTCTTGGCTGTCGCTTGTATTTGGGATATATACATGGATTAAGTCTCCCACTGCATTACTCATTTTGTTACTTTTTGAAAATAAGGAACAGGCGTAACAGTCAAAAATACACACCGACTTCAAAGCATAACGTGAACTCGTATTTACATTGCTCGCTCTCTGGGGCATAGGCACAGCTGGGAGAAGTTTGGAGCTCGCAGTTAATCTGTTTAATTTGGAATTCCTTGCTCT